ATTTACCGAACAGTACAGTACTGTGCTGTACTGTACAGTACAGCAGTGTAGCAACATAAATTTCTACACGTCCCCTCCAATTATGATTGGGTGCTTGCTTATTCATCAATTAACAACCAGTCGTGCTAGTCATTGGTCCTTTCGAGTGAAAGAATTGAGAAGTAATTGGTGAGTGATTGAACGTGATGAGCCTGAAGGTGGGATGTTGGCCTTGCCCTCAAGCCCTGGCTCACCAGAGTCGAATCAATCATCTTCTTGTTCACTCACCATCGAATGATTCATTGTCCGCGTGCGGGGCCAATCGTGGCTCGTGGAGGCCAGGTTGGGACCGTGGGGAAGAGATTGGACAAGCTAGCCAATCAGATCGACAGACACTTGGCCGAGACAAAATAACTGGTTCCCCCATTGCTACTCTACCGTAACCCAAGCAAGTTTGTAGTCTGATCGGAGTGCACGAGGTTGAACTTGAATGGATTAAATTACCTGCAGATGCACAAATAGTATTTCTCTCCTGAGTGAAGGCACTCCTGTACTTAGGAGCACAAAAGGGGTGATGGTCATGATTCTTGCCGCATGTCATCAGCTAAAGTGGTTCTGGAGTTGTCAATAGTCAGCTTGGCCTTGACCCGGGGTTAAGTTAGGTGACTTATGATAAAACGTTGTTGGTCTAAAATAGGCTGGTAACATTGAGAAATGTGTGTCTGGTGGACAAAAGTCTCCTCGTCAGCCAACGAAGTCACGGTTGGTCCGCCAAGTGGTTTATCATTCGCCAATTGGTTTCGGATAACTTTTTCAACTTATTCTGAAGCAGTGCATTCGTCCGTTCTTTTTCTTCCAAAGTTGAAAGCGTGAAAACTCTTGCCACTAGCCACACTCGAAATCAGCCACGGAGAGCCATCTGTAAATTCGGCTCGCACTAACCAAATTCGGCACTCGCTTTAATCCAAGGTACTAAGCTGCGTGGTGATGGTCTAATGATCTGGACACCGCAACAGCCACAAGGTCCATATTGATTACCGGCGTAGTAGCGAGGTCCTATAGCTCGGATATGACCCTTCTATGAGTATTAGGGATGATAAGAGCTCGATGGTGGAAGCGTCTTGGAGGAATTCTCTATTGCTCTAAATAGAGACGTTGTATAAATCAGGCACGAGGACGGCAGCATCAGGGTAAATTTTCTGTAAGACAGACTTAGGATGCTCAGTACTAGTTAGAGAATACGACCTATGCTAAAATTTAGGAGAGATTGATATGTGTAGAGTTTTTGACATGTCCAAAGTCAAAGTACCGGTCATTTTTTCCGGCACGGAGGGTTTTCCGCCACGTAGGGATGGACGTGCTAAATAAAATTTTTATTAAATAGAAAAATTTATATGCTTAGATATTTTCAGATAAAGTATGAATATGGGATTGATTTTTGATTGACAGGGGGGGGGGGTAGCATTTCGCTTGACTGCCAAGACTTTCAAACGCACACAAAGTAGAGATTTAACGTGTGTAGGAGGGACTGAAGACGGACAGGGGGGGGGGTAGCATTTCGCTTGACACAGACAGCGGTAGTTCGCCATCAGGCAACGGGTAGGCAGCAACACAGGCTCTCAAGATTGCGGCCCACTGCAGAGGCTCTCAGTGTGAAAATATGAGGACCGCTCTTTTCTCACCTTTTTTGAGCTTAAAAACTCCCATTCGATCAATATTCTAGAGTAAAATGGAAACCACGGTTTAAAATGCCTGGTGATATCTGTTTCACTCTTATATTGCGTGCTGACTCACAGCCGCTCATCCCGTCGAGGACAGAACTTGGCTGGTCATCACGCCTCTTCACCTCCCGTCTAAATGAGTGAGTCGAAGAACGGAATGTCTACTTGCGTGACTTCCATAACCAAATGCACTTGGCTGCCCTTCATCGTGCAACACCATAAGAGGCGGCATTGTCAAGCGCCTGAGCACGGGAGCGGCGAAGTAGACTGGGGTCTTGATGTACCACTGAAGTGGCCAAAGGGTCTGAAAACTGGGTGAGGGGTAGCGCTTTGCGCACGGACCCCTTATCGATCTATGCGCTGCGTCGCCGAACACATGATGTCTCTGCCCAGCAGGTCTTCGACAGCTGTTTCCACAACCACGCCCTCACCAAGAATCGGCAATGCTTCTGCGCCCTGTCTACTTGGTCAAATCTGAACATTGAGCTTCACATTTCTTTGTCTCTCTTATGAATTACTGAGAGGTGAACATACCGGGGCTTTCATTGCACTGAACTTTGGCTAACTCTATGATCCGCCTGTTAGCAAAATGAACAGAAATGAACCTTGTGCTGCGTGCACTTGGACCACGGAGCGTCAAGAGTCTTGCCGATATAACAGCCACCTGAAGCTCTTCTACGGCGTTAGTGATCGAGGTGTATGGTCCGTGGGCTCGCGATACATTGTCAAAGATCGAGGCATTACACCCCCAAATTTCGAGGCGCAAAGCATACATTTCCTTCATGATGCTACCACAATTCCAGTCCCCGCGATTCTCGCCCAGTGGAACGAGGAATCAGACGGCGCTTCTTTGGCAATAATGGATAGGATCGATGGTGTGACCCTTGACGAGGCCTGGCGCGATCTACCGCAGGCCGACAGGGAGCGTGTTGCAAAACAAATTGTTGATCTCCTGAACCAGCTTCGGGGTCTTCAGAGCAATCGACTGCAAAGTTTGGGCGGACAGCCGCTGTACTCTGCATTCCTGTTCCGAAACGGGTTTGGATTACCACATGGTCCCTTTCAGTCCGACGAGGAGGTCTGGGAAGATATGGTCCAGGCTTTAAAGAAGGTTCCCGACAAAGCTTGCCGTCATCTACGGCAACGCATGCCGCCCTGTGCGCCATATACCTTTACTCATGGCGATCTCTCAACTTCAAACATCATGGTCAAGGATGGGAATGTCGTCGGCATAATTGACTGGGAGGCAAGTGGCTTTTTCCCAGTTTGGTGGGAATTTGTAGCCACAAGCATCTACCAAGACGACAAAGATCGAGAGTGGAAAATGCTACTGGAAAAGTGCATGGCGCAAGAATACACCAAAGCAAAAGAGTTCTGGCTGGATTACTTCTCCCTGTCTCACTATCCTGACG